GGTTTGCGTGGCCGTTCCTGACACTATTGTAGCGGAAATGGACATGAATATTAAAAGAAAAGGTCAAGCTAGATTCTAGATCTAAATTCTGGTGGTTAGTCACTAGTATGGAGAGGAAAAATAACTCGATTGCTACAGGTTAGAGACTTTAATTTGGTAACTAATAGCTAATAAGTATGGTTTTCCTGAGACATCTGTTAGCCAGAGTGCGCTTAGCTGTTAGCAGGAGTTAGCCATTAGCTTTGGAGCATCCATGTGGTCAGGAGGAGAAAAGCAAACAAATCTGTCATTGCTGGATTTGGATGGGCTTGCTTTTGGAGCGGAGTTGCTTCTCAGGTGGTGGCTGGTTCTTCCTCCAGGACACTAGGCTTAATCAAGTCCAACCATTTTGGGTTTGTTTTAACTAGCTCAGACTAGTTGTCTAAGGCCAAAGTGCAAGGTTCAAGATATTATTAAGAGTGATGAGAGGGGTTTTTGAGTCTGGAGACAGTATCTGGGTTCTCAATCTGATAAGAAGAGGTAGACCAGAGAGCAGTTTGCATGTAGCTGTCTTCAGCTGGTCCACTGTGAATGATTGTCCTGTAAATAAACAGTAAAATACTGGAAGCAGGGTTGTCAGTAGTTTACTGTTTATTTTACAGTTATCATACTATTATCTATTTTACAGTATATTATTGTAATAATGTCATGTACTAGATTACAGTAGACTTCTGTATATTCTTGATTTTACAGTAAACTACTGGCAGCAGGGTTGCCAGTACAATACTGTTTTTTTTCTACAGTATTATGTTATATCATAGACTAAAACACACTATCATGCTGTATTTTACTGAAATTACAGTAGACTAGTGGTAGGGTAGCCACTATTTTTTTTATTACATTAACAATGGAATTTCACCATAATCCAAATACAGTACCAGTCATTTCTGTACTATATCATTTTATCAAGAATTTCATTCTACAAAATAGAGCATATTAGTGGCAGCATTGATGACAGCCAATTACTATGAATTAAGCACTGCGTTTACTTTAACCTTGATTACCAAATTTACTGTGATATTCTCTACAACATATAATAATGATTTTGTTAACTAACATGCAGCAATAAAAAATTATATGGAAAGAGATTTAGAAAATACAAACATCAATTATGTAACATTTATTTTTGTGAGGCAGCATCAATTGAAAACTGTACTTAATTTGTAAATTTTTTTCATTACAGTTGTAAATTTCAAGTATGCACAACACAACAGTAATCAGCTTTTATTTTATATAAACTTGGGGAAATTATGCAACATGCCACGGTGAGTAATTTGTCAGTGGCACTGAAAAATAACTTCAAGTCCAATCCTTAATCTAAAAGGAAAAAGACTAGACACAGATGCTTAGAAAGAGTGAACAATATGAAAAAGATTTCCATTTGTTTTTTCTTTTCTTCCTCTTTTCATTATCTAAACGGTGTAAAATCTAGCCAGTCAGACTTGAACAGTACTTTATGCAAAAAGTTGCTCAGTCAGACAAATCACTATAATACAATAAATTTCATGACACTGGCAAGACACATCCTCCCTTCAAACTAAGGCATCAGTCTCAGGTCAACTCTTAGTTGATCTTAAACGGTTATTTTAAAACAAAGAGAATAATCCCGAGTTCTTTCAGATTAGATCTGATCAAGTGTCTGTATAAAACAGTTAGCAGAATATTGGCAGTGGCCTTAAAAGGCAAAACTGAACATATACAGGAACACTCCTGTCCTGGGACAAGTAAACATAATCCCTTCTGGTTCACATAGTTTTTCTTCAGTCTTCTACAGCACAAATACCCACATTTTTCATGTGGTGAGTAGCATATTTAGTAGACAGGAGAACATGTATATAATCTAGGACAAAAACTGGGAACTAACCGTTGCTGTGTTGATGTGAACTGGGTAGAGATCGCTTACTGGCCAGTGAAATTCCATTCAAAGTCTATGAGGTTCTTTAGAAGAGTGGATACATGGGGGTTGACTGTGACAGACTTCTTCTGAACAACATTCCCTGCCCCTCCTTGTCAGCGAAGCTGTAGATATGGGCCTCGAAAAGCACCAAGATACAGAGAAAGCAGAGGAGAAAGAGGAAGTTTCAGGGGAGGTTGGAGAAGACAAAGGAACTAGTATTAAAATGCTATGGCAGAATTTTTAGAAAGTTAAGCTTTTTAATAAGTAAGGAAAATCATAAGATGTGTGTGTTTTGTTTGAAATAATCATTAGTGAATGTGTAAGAAAAAAATGTGAAATGATTGTATTAAAAGAATAGGGAGAAGTGATTTACATCTCAGAGTGAAAAATACAAGAATCACAGAAAAGAGGAAGTAGACACACATCAATGTCTAATCAATGATAATGAATATTTAATCAAGTAATGATTTCAAAATATAAAGATCTATGTTTTGATTTTAAGGCATTGATCGTTTTGTATAAAATCAGTGTGTAATTCTGATTGTTCTGTTAAAAAGCAAGGATGGAATTTTGATATTTCAGTCAGATGAGTTTTTTTTGTATTTTTGCTATGTATTGAGATGGTTTAGCTTTCTAAAAAAGAGAAAGTAGAATCCAAGGCTGGTTACGGGTAGCAGGCTTGAGCGATGACAATAAAAAATATGCAATACTTCAGAACAATATGATTTTGCACGCCAAATAAGGTATTAACTGCAAACTGCGGCATCTGGTTGGATGAGAGGACAAAGACTATTGTCCAGAACCCTATAAAAACCCAGGAAAAAAGAGGAACGAAGAGTTCTTTCACGGCTGCGGCCGGAGGCTCTGTCCAGATGATCGTTTGACTTCCAGGAGACTGAGGACTACGGATGCAGCCCAGGAAGAGCACCCTGCTGGGGGTGCTCCCCCACAGGCCCTGGCCTGTGAAGGGGGAGATGGATGTCGCCGAGGGCAAGAG